TAATCGACAATGAAAATAATTGTTGGTTTTTCTGTTTCTACGAATGTTTGTGACCGATAGAAACTGTATCAGATCGTATTTGAAATGTTGAATCAGAAATGTTCCCAGGACTGAAGACCAGCAGCAGATAAAGCTTACTGGATGTTTTTCTGACAGAGCAGCCAGCTGATCAGGTTACTGTGGATTCATTTATCATTGAGCGATAATGGAAGCTGATCCTGCTGCACAACTTTGGCCTGTGAGCGTTTTTAAGAGCTCATCTTACAGACGACGACCAGGACAGTGTGTGTGTGTGTGTGACCTCAGTTTGGGGAAAGATTTCTGGTGTCCAGTGTGAGGCTCCCAGTGGGCTCAGTGCACACCATCTGTCGTGTCTCTGGTCCATCTGTGAGCTCTGCTCTGAAGGTTTTTGGGCCTTTCTCTCAGTGTGAGAGTGTGAATGAAACTCCACAGACTCCCTGAGAGCCTGAAGCATCTGTCAGGTGACAATGAGACTGTCAACACTCAACGTAAACCTGGAGTCTCACTGTGATGTTGTCCTCATTACGTGGACAAAATCATCTGCTGCAGTGTTTAACAACTACTGCACGCCAGAAACAGAAAGTCTGAACCGTCTAAATGTGAAACGTTACAATGATATTGTCCCATTATTAAAACATACAGCTTCATTTATCACCTTATAAAGAGAAACTTTTGTTACAGTTAACAAGGTAACATATTGTTATAAAGACACATTTAACAATATTAGCGGTGTCAGAAAGTATTGAATATCACATTGTGATATTTTGTCTTTGTGTTAAACAGTGTGCTAAACTTAAACTGAGGGCTATGACTCTGCATTACAAAGTAAAACTTTAGATCTGATGCGTATGGTGGTGTGTTCATTTGTGTGGGTCTGATTCTTACCAATACACAGGCCTAAACAACATTAGTCACCTTATAACTGCATAAATACTACGTCTGTTATAACAATGTAAGTTCACACGTTCTAACGTAAAACTGATGTTCTAACAATAAATACTACAGTTTATTCTAAGTGACAAGAATGTCTTAACAACGTGATGTAATTTAAAATACAATTTATCTTGTCATAAAGTTATACTGTTGTCATGTTATAATAACAGTTTCTTGTTCTAATGTGAACATTTTGTGTCTCGTAATAACATGATACTGATGTGCTTCTTAAATAATACATTCACAAAGCTGTTAATATTATTTTCCATGTGATATAACTAAATCCTCCTTTTATACCTGTATATATATATATATATATATATATATATATACACACACACTATATATACTGTGTTTGCAC